TGTTATCCGGCACTATTCCACCCCGCCTACTGCCTCGGTGGGTCGCCTGATCCTACCGATGCTCTTTCCTGACCTTGCGTCTTTCCCTACTGTCGCTGACCTGGCTGCCCACCTGCACACGATAGATGAGACCTGGCGCGCTGCCTGCACTGACGCACAGCTTAGAGCCCACCAGCCGCCCCTTACCTCTACCCTCTACCTCCTTGCCACCCGCCTCCCTGACCGCCTTGCCGCTGCTCGTGACCGTTTCCTTAGCATCCACCCCGGTGACCTCACCCTCACAGACTTTGTAGACACCCTGACTGTTATAGAGACCCGCCACCGCTTTATCGCCCAGGCGAGCGGTACTGTGCCGGTCCCAATCTTTCAGGGTTGTGCCCCCGCTCAGTGCACCTTCTCCGATGGTTCTGCAGCTGTGGCTGAGACCGCCGATGCAGCGCAGTTCCGTCCGGGGAAGGGCCGCCGCCCCAAGGCAGGGCGCGGCGGAGGAGGTGGGGGTGCAAGTGGAGGTGGTGGTGGAGTCGGGTCGTCTGGTGGTGGAGCGGACGAGGGGACCCTGCCAGGTCCAGTTGAGCAGCCGCTCCAGCAGCCGCAGCAGCAGCAGCAGCCGCACCAGCCGCAGCAGCCGCCGCAGACGAGGCAGGCGAGTGCCCTCCTGCCCGGGTGGCCTGGCGCTGGTGGTAGTCGTGCGCGTGGTGGTGTGCCGGGTGGTGGTTCGGGAGGCGTGCGCTGTCAGTACCAGATCCATACCGGTCCTCGCCGCGGCTTCGTTTGCGATAAGATCGGTCACACCACTGCCCGCTGTTTTCGTCGCCTGGACGACCTGTTTCGTCAGCGCTTCGGCCCGTCGCCCGACCTCCCGGACTGGCACAGTTTGCTTAGTCGTAGAGTTCAGATTTTTGACATGGACATGGATGCCATTGTTTCTGCCCTGCATGTGATGTATGCTGATGACTCTAGTGTGCTCCCCTCCTATTACTCCTTGTCGCCTAGTGTAAGTGTGCCTAGCTAAGACTCCCCTGCTGCGTCAGGCGTAGGAGCTCCTGTTTTGTTTAGCCTTGCTGCTTCCGCCGTCGCCCCGTCGCCAGACGCCACTGCTTCGCTTTCCTTCACCTTGGACTCTGGCGCTTCACGGTGTTTCTTCCGCGACTCTACTACGCTGACGCCGCTTCCTGTTCCTGCTGCAGTTTCTCTTGCTGACCCCTCCGGCGGCCCAGTAGTCGCTCGCAGTTCCACCACCCTTCCCTGTCTGGCGGTTCCTTCGGGCTCTCTCACAGTTCTGCATATCCCCTCGTTCTCCAGGAACCTAGTTGGTGTCGGCTGCCTCTAGGACCTTGGCGTCACCACTACGTTCCCTGGTCACGAGCGGTATGCGTTCTGTACCAAGGCCGCCACTGGTGCCCCCCTGTCCACGTTCCCCCAGGACCCGGTGTCCCGCCTGTTCACCCTGGACACCGTGACCCCCCCAGCTGGGGCGCCTCTTCAGGTGGCTGCGTCTACCCAGGTTGCTGCTGCCTGCTTCTGTCGGTCCCTCACTCACCCAACTCTCCTTTGGCACCACCGCCTAGGTCACCCTGCGCTCCCCCGTCTGCCTCACATATCCCAGCACGGTCTCGTCCTTAGTCTCCCTGGTCCGTTCTCCGCTTTTCCCTCCTCCCCCGCCCCACCTTGCACGCCTTGTGTCGAGGGTCGGCTTCGCCGTGCCCCTCACTCCTCCTCGTTTCCCCCTACCGCCGCGCCTCTGCAGACGCTGCACATGGACGTCTGGGGCCCCGCCCCCGTCCATGAGCCGCGTCGAGAGCGCTACTTCCTCGTGCTTGTCGACGACTTCACTCGCTACACCACAGTCTTTGCCCTGGAGCGAAAGGCCGACGTGCCTGACGCTCTCATCCCCTGGCTTGTCGCTGCGCGTCTCCACCGCGGTCTCCCTGTCTTGCATCTCCACTCCGACCGTGGTGGCGAGTTTGCCTCGGGTGTACTCGGTCGCTTCTGTCGTGCGGAGGGCATCACCCAGTCGTTCACCTTGCCGGACTCCCCACAGCAGAATGGGGTCGCTGAACGACACATCGGTTTGGTCATGGAAGTGGCTCGCACCTCCATGATCCATGCCAGTGCACCCCATTTTCTGTGGCCGTTCGCCGTACGCTACGCTGCTCACCAGCTTAACCTGTGGCCGCACCCCCACCGGCCGCAGGTTTCGCCGACCCTTCTTTGGACCGGGTCTCCTGGTGATGCGTCTGCGTTCCATGTCTGGGGCTGCCTTGCTCACGTTCGTGCCTCTGGCACGGACAAGCTCACTGCCCGCACCCTTCCCTGCGTCTTCCTAGGTTTCCCCCTTGACGCGTCCGACTGGCACTTCTACCACCCGCCGTCTCACTGGTTCTTTCACTCTCGTGACGTCACCTTTGACGAGTCCGTCTCCTTCTCCCGTCGCTTCCCCCACCGCGGTCCCCCTCTTACTCCCCCCCTGTTCCTGGTCACTCCTTCCCTAGTGGTCCCTGTCCGCCCCCCTCCCCCTCCCCGTCCTGCCCCCTCCGGTGTGTCTCACGTCTGGTCTCGCCGTCCCTCCCGTGCTCGACCTGTCTCCCGTGTCTCGCACTCTCACCCTATGTTACTCCGATCCCACGCGTCTCATCCTCCCCTTCTCCCGTTGCCCCCTCCGTCCTCCCTTGTCGTTGCTCCCCCCCCTCTGTCTGACTACCTGCGTGCCGCCCGTCCTCTTGATCCTCGGGTCCTTGCCTCTCTCGTTACTGGCCCATCTGTTCCGGTTTCGAGTCTTGACGCCCTTGTCGCTGCGGTCGCTGACTTCGCCTCTACCTGCCGCCTTGACTACGCCACAGCTCTGGTATCTGACTTTGCCTGTCCTCGATCTGTCGAGGGTGCTCCTGCCCTCGGCAGTGACGTCTTGGAGGACCGCCAGTTCGGGCTTGATTTCCTGTCTGAGGCTGCTCCCCATCTCTGTTCCATGCTGCTAGTCCCTCAGGGTGACCCAGACGCGTTCGACATCCCGACCCCTCGCACTTACGCTGAGGCTGTTTCGGGACCTTGGGCCTCTTAGTGGATAGCTGCCATGGAGCAGGAGATGGCATCTGGGAGATCCACCGGTACCTTCATCGATGCAGTTCCCCTTCCAGGGGTGAATGTAGTCGACGGCCGCTGGCTCTTCAAGGTGAAGCGCCCTCCTAGAGAGCCGCCTGCGTTCAAGGCGCGCTACGTGGCTAGAGGTTTCAATCAGCGTGAGGGGATGGACTTCTTTCAGACTTTTGCTCCGACCCCGAAGATGACTACTCTTCAGGTGCTGCTACACTTAGCTGCTCAGCGTGACTACGAGCTTCACTCCCTCGACTTCTCTACTGCGCTTCTTCAGGGCAGTCTCCACGAGCAGGTCTACCTGCGTCGCCCTCAGGGGTTCACTGGCACCTTCCCTCCTGCGACCCAGTGGCTCCTGCGGCGCCCCGTCTACGGCCTGCAGCAGGCTCCCCATGAGTGGCACGACACGCCGCGTGCAACGCTTGCTGACCTGCAGTTCTTTCCGTCGTCTGCAGACCCCTCGCTCTTCGTTCGTGCTGGCCAGACTCCGTTCTACATTCTTGTCTACGTAGACGACCTGGTCTTTCCCACAGCAGACAGGGACGCACTGGCCTCGGTGAAAGCAGAGCTGCTGAAGAGACACACTTGCACTGACCTTGGAGAACTACGCCGTTACCTTGGCCTGCAGATCTTCAGGGACAGAGGAGCGCGCACCATCACTTTGACTCAGTCATACTTGGTGCGCCAGGTCCTTCAGAGGTTCAGTCTTCAGTTCTCCTCCGTACAGCCCACCCCTCTACCTGTAGACCACAGACTCTCCGCTCCAGTTCCTGCGGAGTCAGTAGAGCCCAGTGGTCCTTACGCAGAGCTGGTGGGTTGCCTCATGTACCTGATGACTTGCACTCGCCCAGATCTTGCATACCCTCTCAGCATCCTGGCTCGCTTTGTGGCCACGGGCAGACACCAACCGCAGCACTGGTCTGCCGCTAAGAGGGTTCCGCGTTTTCTCGCAAGTACATCGGGCATGGGGTTAGTGCTAGGAGGACGCATGCCAGTGGTCCTTACTGGACACTTAGACGCTTCTTGGGCAGACGATGCCGAGACCCTCAGGTATTCCCAGGCCTACTGCTTCAGCCTTGGTTCAGGTGCCGTCTCGTGTAGAGCTACCCGCTCCTCGTCTGTTGCTCAGTCCAGCTGTGAGGCCGAGATCTACGCTGGTGCCATTGCGGCATAGGAGCTCCGCTGGCTGACCTTCTTGCTCACTGACCTAGGTGAGCGGCCTACCTCTGCCCCGGTCCTGTACGCTGACAACATGGCCATGATCCTCCTGTGTTAGGAGCCTCGACTCGAGGGCAGAGCGAAGCATATCCAGCTGCGATACTTCCTCATGCGCGAGCTACAGCAGCGCCGCCAGGCTCGCGTAGTACACTTGGCCTCTGGTGCCAACACAGCTGATATCTTTACGAAGGCGCTTGCGCCTAAAGATCATCAGCGGCACTGTGTACAGCTTGGTCTAGTTCCTGTAGCCTCTCACTTGCTAGGGCCTTGACTTTGTACTGTCCTTTATATATATGTATTTACTCAGACTGGACTTGTGTCCTCTCCCAGTGGATGGACTAGTAGTGCCGCCCTGGTCTTGTTCTTGCCTTGTCTGTACTCCTGTTGACTAGTCTTTAGACCCTTGTCTCAGTGGCTGGACTAGTAGTGCCGCCCTGAGCTGCTTGTTCAGAAACTGCCCCTATGCACTCTAGGGGGTGTGTCAAACATTTGTATATCTAATGTTTGTATAGACAGTATAGGGTCACCTCTTAGAGAGTACGACGACCCTTAGATATGTATGCTTGTACCCAGGTTCTCTATTCAATTCATTACTCAGTTCTAAAAGTTTTCAGGAGACCCTGAAGGGTCAGGGTTCGGGGCCCCGCAACCCTAGTTTCGGCAGGGTAATATTTTCGTAACACTTTTTGGATCAGGGTAATAAATTTCGTAAGTCTGATTTTTTAGACCAAATGAAAAAATGCCCTGAAAAATCAGGGCAATCAGGGCATTTCATGTGGCTAATTTGGGCCCTGATCTCACTTCGCACTTCGCGGAACTGCACTGAAACATTTCGCGACAAAATTTGCGACACTGTAGCACGCGAGTCTGAGAAGAGATTGCTTGGGAAGAGGCTGGTAGGAACACGCTCTTAGTCCTCCGGGAAGGTTTAGAGGTGCAGAGCCTGGGGGGTTATGGGCGCACTAACCCGCTTCTTAACAAGCCCTTTTAACTCAGTGTTAGTGACTCAATTCTGATATCATGTGGCACCTGATTTACACCCTGCACTGTGAAGGTGCCTTGCTGCTAGCATGTGAAATCAATTTGACTTCATCTGCCACCACCCCTGCTGCATCGCTGTTCCTCCTCCACCTCCACACCGCCTCGCCCCTGCTGCTCCCCCCTCCCACCCCCAGCACCCCAAACCCATAGGCTGCCTGGCGGAAGGCAGACCAGGCGGGCTGAGGGGAGAGGAAACTGGAGGGGGGAGAGTGGGGGGATGGGGGGCAAAGGGGGAGGAGAAAGTTGACAAAAAGGGAGGGAGCACCATGCAGCAGTTGAAACGAAGGCCGACCAGGTGGGCATGGGGAAGGCGAGAATGAACGAGGAGGGGGAGGGGGGGAGGGAGGGAGGTGGGGAGAGAGAGAGTTGACAAAAGGGTAGAGTGCAAGGAGCAGCAGAGGAAACGGGAGACTGAGCAGGAGGGATGGGGTACAATGATGAAGGGGATGAGGCGACGGACAAGAGTGTAAAGAAATGACACGGTATACATCCCGTATTTGATCTTTCACAGAATCCTGAAAACGATTCAAATACGGTTTTCATAATTATTCGGACGTTTTCAACTTCGAAACATTCGAAATTGACAAATATCTGTTGTCCAAATACCAAATTTTCGTTTCGGTATTTGGATGTGGACGGCTTTGGGATTTTACCCCTATGATAACTCAACCACGGATGCTTGCCAGCTGTTCATTCTGACCCCCAGAGGCAGCTAAGACTGCTGTGCTGCAGTCACACTATAAGCAGCCAAGTACAAAGCACACTCATGTCTGGAAGAGTGTGTTCATTTTGACACGCTATGAAAATACAAGGGGCCGGCGTGGAAGCGGGGGTGTTAGATGGGATTGAGTCCGTTTAGGAAATGGTGGAGAACGAATGGAATTTACAGCAATTGTACCAACAGTCTATGTAGGTTCGAAACTATCATTCGAATACATTCGTACTCAAAGTGCATTCGCCAGAATGGTATTCTTATTTAAAAAAACATACTTTTCGACCAAATACCAATTTGGCAAAGTATTTACACCCTTAGTGAAGGATGAGCACCTTACATAGGGTTGTTGTAAAACAGCTTACATATGGTTGTCATGGATCACCTTACATAGTGTTTCATGAAACATCCTATACAGCGTTCAGGTGGAGCATCTTACGGGGGGGTTGTTGCGGAGCACCTTATATAGGGTTGTTCAATGATCTGCACCAAATGCTATTAGCGATTCATCTTCGTTACGAGTCACCTTAACGAGTCATCTTTGTAACGAGTCACCTTCACAACAAGCCACCTTCATCACGAGTCACCTTGTATAGAGATCAGCCCCTGCTGTGCCAACAGTGAGGTGCACCATGCCACAGGGGTCCTGGGCGTTGTTGAAGAGAGGCAGCTAGGGGGGCGGAGAGAGCGGGGGATGTGGTGGGAGAGAGATGCAAAGATCACTACCACGAGATCAACAGTGAGGTGCCGCATGCCGCGGAGGTCCTGGGCGTTGTTGAATGACGGAGCTGTGGGCCAAGGGACAAAGGGTGGGAGAACCACAGAGGAGGGAGGAGATGCAGGGACCACGTGAAATCAAATAGCTGCGGAATGCACCATGCTGCAAGGGCCCCCAGTCCCACGCATGCACCAAGTCCCATGCACCACGCCGCATGCACCAAGTCACATGCACCACGTCGCATGCACAAAGTCACATGCACCACGTTGCATGAACCAAGTCACATGCACCACGTCGCATGCACCAAGTCACATGCACCAAGTCGCATGCACCAGGTCGCATGCACCAAGTCACATGCACCAAGTCACATGCACCAAGTCGCACGCACCAAGTCGAATGTACCAAGTCACATGCACCAAGCTAAGTGGAGAAATACGCGTCCAGCGTATTATACGCAAGCGTATTATACGCTAGCGTATATACGCTGTACGCTTCATTATGGGATTGGATACGCTAGGAAATACGCTCTGGCGGGCAGGTATAAAAACAACTCGGGCAGGGGTAAAAAAAACCTGTTTGGGGAGGGAAGAGGGGGGGTTCAGAGCACCAAGGATACGGGGCAGTACTTGCACCAATACTTTTGCTGCTTGCCGTGCTCCTTATGCTTAAACTTGAAATGCTTAAAGATAGCGTGGGTGGAGTTCTCCAGGAGCTCGTCAGAGGAAGACGCAGCACAGGAGGTTCCCGCGTCGGTTCCGTGGGAACCAGGACTAGGTGGAGGGTTCGACATAGCAACAGTCGCTAAAAAACCAGCTAGCTAGTCGCGCTAGCTTGGAAGAAGAAATGACTGAAGTTAGCGCGCCAGTTTACTTGTACCCTGATTTCGTCGTAGGAGTGAACTGCGTTGAACCCTGCTGGAGTAGAGTAGAGAGGGAGAGGAAGGAGATTTCTTTGGGTGTTGTTTGGAAGTCGCAGATTGGGTGGGATGCTGTGTGGTTGGGAGGGGCGAAGGGGTTGGGTTGACGATTTGAAAAGCCAAATTTCGGTTTGCGACATGACGAAATCCCTGTGGGGTTTCGTCATGTCGCAAATTTGTCGCACCGTTTTTTGCGTATTTCTTGCCGGGCTGCCCGCCAAGAAATACGCTAGCGTATTGCGTACTTAGCTAGCGTACAGCGTATTCGTATTATACGCTAGCGTATGTACGCAATACGCTAGGCTGCCCAAGCGTATTTCTCCACTTAGGCACCAAGTCGCACGCACCAAGTCGAATGCACCAAGTCACATGCACCAAGTCACATGCACCACGTCGCATGCACCAAGTCACATGCACCACGTCGCATGCACCAAGTCACATGCACCAAGTCGCATGCACCAAGTCGCATGCACCAAGTCACATGCACCAACTCCCATGCACCAAGTCGCATGCACCAAGTCGCATGCACCAAGTAAAACGCACCAAGGCGCATGCACCATGTCACATGCACCAAGGCACATTCACCAAGTCGCATGCACCTAAGTCTCATGCACCAAGTCACATGCACCACGTCGCATGCACCAAGTCACATGCACCAAGTCGCATGCACCAAGTCACATGCACCAACTCCCATGCACCAAGTCACATGCACCACGTCGCATGCACCAAGTCGCATGCACCAAGTCGCATGCACCAAGTTGCATGCACCAAGTCGCATGCACCAAGTCACATGCACCAAGTCACATGCACCAAGTCGCATGCACCAAGTCGCACGCACCAAGTGGCATGCACCAACTCGCATGCACCAAGTCACATGCACCACGTCGCATGCACCAAGTCGCATGCACCAAGTCCCATGCACCAAGTCACACGCACCAAGTAAAACGCACCAAGGCGCATGCACCATGTCGCATGCACCAAGGCACATTCACCAAGTCGCATGCACCAAGTCGCATGCACCACGTCACACGCACCAAGTCACACGCACCAAGTCGCATGCACCAAGTCGCATGCACCAAGTCACATGCACCAAGTCACATGCACCACGTCGCATGCACCAAGTCGCATGCACCAAGTCGCATGCACCAAGTCGCATGCACCAAATCGCATGCACCAAGTCGCATGCACCACGTCGCATGCACCAAGTCGCATGCACCAAGTCGCATGCACCAAGTCGCATGCACCAAGTCACATGCACCAAGTCACATGCACCACGTCGCATGCACCAAGTCGCATGCACCAAGTCGCATGCACCAAGTCGCATGCACCAAGTCGCACGCACCAAGTCGCATGCACCACGTCGCATGCACCAAGTCACATGCACCACGTCGCATGCCCCAAGTCACATGCACCAAGTCGCATGCACCAAGTCGCATGCACCAAGTCACACGCACCAAGTCGCATGCACCAAGTTGCATGCACCAATTCGCATGCACCAAGTCACATGCACCAAGTCGCATGCCCCAAGTCACACGCACCACGTCACATGCACCAAGTCGCATGCACCAAGTCGCATGCACCAAGTCGCATGCACCAAGTCGCATGCACCAAGTCGCACGCACCAAGTCGCATGCACCACGTCGCATGCACCAAGTCACATGCACCACGTCGCATGCACCAAGTCGCATGCACCAAGTCGCACGCACCAAGTCGCATGCACCAAGTCGCATGCACGAAGTCACACGCACCAAGTAAAACGCACCAACGCGCATGCACCACGTCGCATGCACCAAAGTCTCATGCACCAAGTCACATGCACCACGTCGCATGCACCAAGTCACATGCAGCAAGTCGCATGCACCAAGTCGCATGCACCACGTCACACGCACCAAGTCACACGCACCAAGTCGCATGCACCAAGTCGCATGCACCAAGTCACATGCACCAAGTCACATGCACCACGTCGCATGCACCAAGTCGCATCCACCAAGTCGCATGCACCAAGTCGCACGCACCAAGTCGCATGCACCACGTCGCATGCACCAAGTCACATGCACCACGTCGCATGCCCCAAGTCACATGCACCAAGTCGCATGCACCAAGTCGCATGCACCAAGTCGCATGCACCAAGTCGCATGCACCAAGTTGCATGCACCAATTCGCATGCACCAAGTCACATGCACCAAGTCGCATGCCCCAAGTCACATGCACCACGTCACATGCACCAAGTCGCATGCACCAAGTCACATGCACCACGTCGCATGCACCAAGTCACATGCACCAAGTCGCATGCACCAAGTCACATGCACCAACTCCCATGCACCAAGTCACATGCACCACGTCGCATGCACCAAGTCGCATGCACCAAGTCGCATGCACCAAGTTGCATGCACCAAGTCACATGCACCAAGTCGCATGCACCAAGTCGCACGCACCAAGTGGCATGCACCAACTCGCATGCACCAAGTCACATGCACCACGTCGCATGCACCAAGTCGCATGCACCAAGTCCCATGCACCAAGTCACACGCACCAAGTAAAACGCACCAAGGCGCATGCACCATGTCGCATGCACCAAGGCACATTCACCAAGTCGCATGCACCACGTCACACGCACCAAGTCACACGCACCAAGTCGCATGCACCAAGTCGCATGCACCAAGTCACATGCACCAAGTCACATGCACCACGTCGCATGCACCAAGTCGCATGCACCAAGTCGCATGCACCAAGTCGCATGCACCAAGTCGCACGCACCAAGTCGCATGCACCACGTCGCATGCACCAAGTCGCATGCACCAAGTCGCATGCACCAAGTCGCATGCACCAAGTCACATGCACCAAGTCGCATGCACCACGTCGCATGCACCAAGTCGCATGCACCAAGTCGCATGCACCAAGTCGCATGCACCAAGTCGCATGCACCAAGTCGCATGCACCAAGTCGCATGCACCAAGTCGCACGCACCAAGTCGCATGCACCAAGTCGCATGCACGAAGTCACACGCACCAAGTAAAACGCACCAACGCGCATGCACCACGTCGCATGCACCAAAGTCTCATGCACCAAGTCACATGCACCACGTCGCATGCACCAAGTCACATGCAGCAAGTCGCATGCACCAAGTCGCATGCACCACGTCACACGCACCAAGTCACACGCACCAAGTCGCATGCACCAAGTCGCATGCACCAAGTCACATGCACCAAGTCACATGCACCACGTCGCATGCACCAAGTCGCATCCACCAAGTCGCATGCACCAAGTCGCACGCACCAAGTCGCATGCACCACGTCGCATGCACCAAGTCACATGCACCACGTCGCATGCCCCAAGTCACATGCACCAAGTCGCATGCACCAAGTCGCATGCACCAAGTCGCATGCACCAAGTCGCATGCACCAAGTTGCATGCACCAATTCGCATGCACCAAGTCACATGCACCAAGTCGCATGCCCCAAGTCACATGCACCACGTCACATGCACCAAGTCGCATGCACCAAGTCACATGCACCACGTCGCATGCACCAAGTCACATGCACCAAGTCGCATGCACCAAGTCACATGCACCAACTCCCATGCACCAAGTCACATGCACCACGTCGCATGCACCAAGTCGCATGCACCAAGTCGCATGCACCAAGTTGCATGCACCAAGTCACATGCACCAAGTCGCATGCACCAAGTCGCACGCACCAAGTGGCATGCACCAACTCGCATGCACCAAGTCACATGCACCACGTCGCATGCACCAAGTCGCATGCACCAAGTCCCATGCACCAAGTCACACGCACCAAGTAAAACGCACCAAGGCGCATGCACCATGTCGCATGCACCAAGGCACATTCACCAAGTCGCATGCACCACGTCACACGCACCAAGTCACACGCACCAAGTCGCATGCACCAAGTCGCATGCACCAAGTCACATGCACCAAGTCACATGCACCACGTCGCATGCACCAAGTCGCATGCACCAAGTCGCATGCACCAAGTCGCATGCACCAAGTCGCACGCACCAAGTCGCATGCACCACG